GACCGGGGCCAGACCCGTCCGTAGGTCAGGGCCTGCGCCGACGTTCCGTCCTGTGCCTCCTCCTCACGGGCTTGTCGCGAGAGAGACACATCACACAGGAAAGGCCTCTGGGACAGAGCGTGGCTCGGGGCCCTTCCCAGATGACTCACGCGTAGGCGGTTTCGGTCCCGTCAATGGAGGATGACCTTTTCCTGCACGTCTTGTTTTTCTTAGAGTTACTAATCGCCTTTTTTCTGTTTTTTTTTTTTTCACCGAAGAATAGCGTGCGCCTTCACTGCGTCCTAAAGTGTAGCCGGCCTCTGGGTCACGCTGTCTGGCACGTGGGACTCCCGTTCCGCCGTCCGCCGGGCGGCCTGGCCCTCGGCTCCGGCGGCCCCCCCAGGTCTCTGCCTGAGATGCAGAGGGGTCCTGTCCTGAGACGCCCCTCACCGTCTGTTCACGTGCTCGGCTGCTCCGTCGTTTCTTCGCTCCGGTAGCGTGTGACAGACAAGTCCACCTGGAAGGCCCCGTTCCCCCGTCGTCCAGCATGCAGTGTGACATACGCAAAGTCCGGTGCCTGTCCCGGCCGCGTCCGTCGGGGGTGACCCGGTGTCGGGTTCCGCTGGCTCTCTGAAGTTTCGTGGTCACCTCTTTGTACCCAGAGCTCTGACCCGGCAGACCTTCCCGGAGCAGAGCGGGAGCCTTTGCGTCTTCGGTGATTTCTTTACCATCTTTTTGGTCCTTCCGCTGGGCGCCTTCTGGGTTCGACGTGGAGCCCCCCGCGACCCTGAACTTTGAGCCCGCACTGTTCGTAACTGCCCGATAGGGGGCGGTTTGCTCTCCTGTTTGTTTCGAATCCCCCGCTCCCCCCAACACCCTGCCCCGCAAAACATCCGAACACTCAGGACGGCAGCTGCAGCCACACGAGGCGTCACCCCAGCACTGCTGGGAAGAGAGTAGGTGCTGGTTGCGTTTCTTTCCAGAGCCGTTGCTCTGTCCTGTTTTTCTGCGGAAGTGCCTGGAGTGTATTTCCAGCTTTTCCGTGGCATTTTTGTTAGGTCAGGGATCCTCTGGGTTCCTTAACGCTGTATTCTGTTCTCTGAACCTCCTTTTCAGGGTACCCCGCTGGCTGCGCGCGTCGCATCCTGTCTGAGGTTTCTCCGAGAAGGCGAATTAGAATTTTTAGGTTCCCATCCGCTTGTTCCCTGGCTGCTTTCCCCCCTCGTCCTGTGGCCCTTGGCCGCTCCCTTTCTGCCGTGGGGTCTCCTCGGTCACCCCTGGTTGTCTGGATTTAAAGAAGCTGGGCTCAGAGGGCCAGGTGGCGTGGATGTTGTCCGCGGGGCACAGGTGCGCCAGCTTCAAGGACTGGCCATCTGCTCTAGGGCTGGAGTGGAGAGGGGCGGGGACGGGGCGGGGAGGGTGGCCGCGTGGTCACTCGCGGCACCAGAAGGGCTGCATTCGGGGGTGCCGGGACCCCTGCTGGCTGTCACCGAGCAGTTGGTGTCGTTTTCTGTGCTTCGGCCTCGTCCTGAGGGGATGCAGGCGGGGAGTGGGGGGTGGGGGCGGTCCTGACTGTAGCTGACCAGTTACTACGTTCCTCTCCCTGGGGGTTCTGGGCAGCCACCCCTGTTGTGCCCCGGCTTGGGTCCACAGGCACCTGTGCCACGTTAGGACTTCTGTGTGAGAAGGAAGGGCAGACTGCCTGCTGCGACCCCTCACGGAGATGCGGAGGCTGAGCAGGGCCGGAGTGGCCGCGGGCGCTGGGGCTGTCACAGGCCCTGCCGGGGTCCGGGTTTCGGGAGGGTGGCACCCATGGGGACAGCAGGGGGCAGCTGTCCAGGTGTGCGAGCCCTGCCTGGGCCCTCGGCCCTTTCCTCCTGGCTGCCTAGTCTTCGAGCCAGAGGACACAGCTCGGGGACAGCTGGCCCTGCACAGCTGGGGGGTGGCATGCTCTGCTCTGTGCTTGGGCGTCTATCGCCAAGGTCCTTGGGCCCCAAGACGCTGCCATTTCGTCTGGGATCCGTCTGCTTCCGTCGCGGCTGTGGGCTGGAGGGCGCCGGCACGCGCGCGCCCCTTTGCTCGGATGT